TACACCCTTGGCAGCCTAAAACATGAATTTGTTATCTTACAGTTCTGTAGGCCGAGATCTGACACAGCTCTCACTGGGCTCAAATCAACGTGTGGACAGAGCTGTGTTCCGTTCTGAAGGTTCGAGGGGAAAAGTCATTGCAGCTGCGGACCGAATGTTTGTTTCCCCAAATTCACATGCATGTTGAACCCTAATCCCAATGCGATGGTATTTAGAAGTAGGCCCTTTGGGAGGTGATCTGGTCATGAAGGTGGAGCCCTCATGAATGGGATTAGTGCCCTTATAAAGGAGACCCCAGAAAGACCCCTCGTCCCTCTATCAGGTGAGGACACGGTAAGCATGTGGCTGTCTAGATCCAGGAAGCAGGCCCTCACGAGACACCAAGTCTGCCAATGCCCTGACCTTGGACTCCCAGCCTTCAGAACTGGGAGGAATATGTCTGTTGCTTCCAAGCCAATGGGATTTTGTTATAGCCGCCCAAGCTGACTACAACAGTTTGTTTGTGTCTTCCAGCTTCCAGAGGCTGCCTACGTTCCTTGGCCCCTTTGCTTCATCCTCAAAGCCAACACTCTGATGTTCTTCTATAATCACACCTCCCTCTGACTCACCCCTCTGCCCCCCTTTTAAGTACCTTGTGGCTGTTTGGGGCCTACTTGCATAATCCAGAATAATCTCCCTATTTTAAGGTTAGGGATTAGCGATCATAATTCCATCTAAAACTTTGATTCACCTTTACCAGGTAACCTAACATATACATATTCACAGGTTGCAGGGATTAGGACATGGGCACCTTTGGGGGGCCATTATGCCACCTACCACAGACCTAGAGTAATTATATCACTTCTAAGAGTCCATTTCTTTATGAAGTGGGGTTCCTCCATTAGGTGAAACAGAGATTAGAGATGGTGATTAGATCAGTCATCTGTTGCTATGTAACACATTACCCCAAAATTTAGTGGCATAAAACAATATTTCTCACAACTTTTATGAGGGTCAGAAATTAGTGAGCAGTTTAGCTGAGAAGTCTAGTGTGGGATCTTTCAGTAGCCAAGGCTCTGGTTATCTGAAAGATGGGCTAGGACCGAAAGCTTTTAAAATGACTCCCTCACCCAGCTGGTGTGGCTCAGTGGTTGAGCATCGACCCAGGCACCAAGAAGTCACCGGTTTGATTCCAGGTCAGGGCACATGCCCCGGTTGTGGGCCAAGGCCCCAGTGGGGGGCATGCAGGAGGCGGCCAATTGATGTTCTCTCTCATCGATGTTTCTATCTCTCTCTTCCTCTCCCTCTAAAAATAAATAAATGAATAAAAAGACAGCTCCCTCAGTGTCTGTTGGCAGCAGGCCTCAGTTCCTTGCATGTCGATCCCCCCAAAGTGCTGCTTGAGTGTCCTCACAGTGGGGCAGCTGGCTCCCCATAGACAGAGTGACCCAAGCGAGCCGACCAGAAGCACAATGTCTGGTTTCACTAAGCCGTGCACACATATTACGTATTTAAATAACTTTTCAAAATCAATAAAAATTGCTTAACATTACTCAGGTTGGTCTAGTTCAGACGCTTCCAAGCATTAGCAGCAGAATCCTTTCCTCAAATAGAATGTGGGGAATTATAAGAGAGCCCCAGTGGCTCCAATGGGGGCGAGGCCTGGGGACCCTCTATGAGCCTCTCATCCTCAGTTTACAAACCTCTGGATTCAACCTTTTCTCTGAGCAGGAACCTCCTGACTTTCCAAAGCTGGAAACAAGAGCTTTGATCAGATTTGAAATGGTAAAAAGACTGCTCTTTTCAGTGTCCCTTTATCAGGAAAACATCCAATTTTATAATTGTTTTAGCCTGAAGGTTACAAACCTTCAAAGGAAGAAAGGAAAGATCAGCCATTTGGTTTGAACAGATATTCCCAACCTTTAATCACTGTGCCCTTAAAACTGTGTACCCAGAATGCTTTGCAACCCGGGCCTAAAACAGATGGGGGTTTTGTCCTCTCCCCACACCTTTTCCCTTCCTTCCCTGCACACCCCCATCCCACTCAGGATTAGCCTCAGCAGCCGGTGTGGCAGAGGGTCAGCCCCACCTCTCAGTCTCAAGTTGCTGTCACATTTATGTCCTTGCAGTCACCTACAACCTGCAGCCCATCGGGCCTGGGTTTAGGTCCCAGACCTACCACTCAGTACTGAATCTGCACAAGTCACTTAACCTCTCTGAGCCTTGGTTGCTGTGTGTGTAACTTGGGGACAGTGCCCTCTCCATCGCTGGGCTGCAGTACAGATGACATGTAAACACCTGCTGCGTCTTCTCCCAACCCTATTGTCCGACAAGGTCCGGATGTGGAGAGGAAGCTTCAAGGATGCATCTTCTAGGAGGAGGACGTGGCACGGGGGTGGGATTGATCGGTATTACGGGAATTATAATCATTATTATTCTACTATACGACTAACCTGGGAGTAACAACAAGGTATCTGAAATCACGCCTCTTCAATTAAATTCCGAAGAAACCCCAGCTTCCCCTGAAACAGTCACCACTGCATGTCCAGACTGTCTAAATAATTTACTAATTCAATTAGGTAAAAATTTTCCCCAAAAGTCCCTAATAAACAATTCATGGATGAGTTGTGACAGGTAGAACTAATGGAGGCACCTTATACCCCTGTGCCTCCTCCCCAGACAGAAAGAGTATTTTAAGAGAATAAAAGAAAATTGTATCGACCCCTACCCACTGCTCAAGGGTTTCCTTATATAGCTTATTGGATAAAAGGAAAACTATGGTACGTACCTAGAGGGGCTAGAAGTATCCAAAGGATTCCTGACCCTCCCTTGCCCTTTACAGGAGCATATAATGAAAATGGAATAATAGTTAACAAAGACAGACTACACATTCCTTACGCAAGCTCGCCTTCACGGAAGATTGGCACGCCAAGGTCCCCCGTGGTGCTTACGCACAAAGGAACAAAAGAAATCTCAATCATTGCAATTGAATACATTTTATAAGAAATGTTGCCCTGAGTTAGTTAAGGAGGTAAATAAAAAACCAGCTGATCTAAAAACCCAGAACTAGATTTTAAATAAAGGTCAACTATTAATCTCAGACAAAGGGCCTATAGAAAACCCTGTCTCACCCTACAGGTTACTCTACTCCCTTCTTTGTATCTATAAACACAAAAAGTTATCAATTAATTCTGATAAAAATGAAACTAACATCCTGGTACTATGGAATGTAACTTCCTGCTTCTTTAACCTCAAATATTAAATTTATGCCAAAAAAGAAAGTATATAAGCACATAGAAACTTGCAATAAATGGGAATAGTGTCACACTTCCTCTGAGTCGTGTTGTCATCTGTCTCCCAGTGCCGACGCCTGACCACCTTCGGGCCCCCTGGACCCTGCTGCAGCTGGACTGCGGCAAACACCCAGCCACAGAAGGACCCCAATTAGTGGCCTCTTGCCAATAATGGCCTCTTCCGACTTCACCTGGCCTTTCCCAGGCTTCCTGGCCTGGGGCTAGAGCTTTGAGCAGGATTCTGGTTGACAGCTTGCTTTTCAGAGTCTTTAATTTCTATATTTTTCAAAATAATTTTTAAAAACTTGGTTAAGCTCATTTTTGAAAAAAAATTAACAAGAAAAAAATTTCCCCACCACTGAGTTCCCAGCCACGGGCTGTCCTGGGCACTCTGCCCACCTCCCCAGGCTCTCTGCTCACCTCGTGTGCTGGGCGAATAAGGAGTTTTAATGCGTTTTGTTTTGTTTTCCTGAAGATCTTTCCTGGCCTTTAACAGACCTCTGGTACCCTATGAAATAACAGAAAATCCATGTTGGTCTCTGCTCACAGCTTCTGGCACAGAGCTGCAAAATCCTTGTCATTTCCCAAGTAATGGGAGCTCTAGCAGCATCTTTTGTTCTAATATTTGATCTTGGACCCTGGTTCCTGACACACAGCTCCTACGTCCCTTGGAATCTCTTGGGTGATAGGAGTGTCTTTTGCTCTAGTAAGACGACTCTGGGTGGGCTCCTGGGTGGGGGCTGGCCACCAGAAAGACCAAGCCATGATGAGAAGCTTGGAATTTTCAGCCCCACCCCATCCTCCAGAGAGGGGCTGGAAATGGAGTTAATAATTGATCATGCTCCTAGGAGGAGGCTCCCATGAAAATCCCAATAGTATAGGGTTCAGAGACCTTCCGGTTGGTGAACTCAGGTGCGAGCAGAGTGGTGGGCCCGGAGAGGGCATGGAAGCTCCGAGCCCGTTCGCACATACCCTGCCCTACACATCTTTGCTCTGGTTGTTCATCTGTATCCTTCATCATATCCTCTTCTAAGGGGCTGGTAAACAGTGAGTAAACTGTTTTCCTGAGTTCGATGAGCCCCTCTAGCAAATGAATCAAACCTGAGGCCAGGGCCCTGGGGAACTCCAATTTATAGCAGATGGGTCAGAACCACAGGGGGACTTGTGATTGACGTCTGAAGGTGGAGTGCAGGGGGCAGTCTGGTGGGACTGAGCCCTTACCCTGGGGGACCTGACGCTTTCTCCAGGCAGATAGGGTCAGGATTGTTAAATTGTAGGACACTCAGAATTGCCAGCAAGGATAGTTCTGTGTGAGTAGTATTAAGAGACACAGGAGGGAAAGACTGGATTTTCAAAGGCATGCCCACAGAAGGGACACCCCCAAACCATCTCCAACAGCCCCATCAGTTTACAACAGCCCAGGACTCTGCCCCCAGATCTCTCAGAGGGCAGTGGGGCTGAGCCTGGGTGGGGCCTGTGTCCCAGGCTGCAGCCATCTAGAAGCCTCTTTGTTCCCCGATACTGGTCACATGTTCCTCGTGCAGTGAGTGTCCAGGAACACTGCTTTTTAAATGTCCTGGTTGCACAAAAATGTTTTACTTGGAGACTTAGGCATAACAGACCATCCATGGGATAAAAGGATTTGTCCTTTTGACACCAAGGATCTACAAAACGATAGAGAAATGAAACACATCCACCATTAAGCCAGCGCCCCAAAGCAACTTCCCCATGTTGGAAGATTTCCAAGGAATAGCGGGCCGAGACCCTTGGTGGTTACAGGAAGAGGTAGGGCGCAGGGTATTGTGACATGCCTCAGGGAAGGGCAGCTTTTCCCTTGGCCCAGGGAGGCCGGGCATTAGAGGTGCAAGGGAGCTGGACCCGACATGGAGCCTGGGGCCCACCCCTCCGGGGCTCCACAGGACAAGAAGGAGGAGCCGCAGCAAGAGACTCAGACCCAGACCATCCAGTGCCAGGGCCAAGTGCTGCTGCTGGGCGAGCACTGGCGGCAGAATGAGCGCGGCCTGACCCTGCAAGACATCCTGGAGCAGGTCCCCACCAATGCGCCCTCCGGAACCTCGTCCACCCGAGCCACCAGCGGTCACAGCAGTTCCAGCAACAGCTCCAGGCGTTGTCTCAAGCGCTCCGGTGAGCGCTCTTCGAACGGCGCCGACTGCCCGGCCGCCAAGTGCAAGCGCTTCGCCCAGACGCTGCCGGACGACGGGCTGGAGGCTGAGGACCGGCGCCAGGGCGAGTGCGAGGCCGCTCGGGCTTCGGCCGAGACCCCCGGGTCCCGGGCGGAGGACCCGGCGCCGGGATGCTGGGCCCCGCCGCAGCCGCCGGAGCCACCCGAGCCGGACTCGCGGCTGCTCCTGGTGCTGTGCCGCGCGTCGGCGCTGCGCTCGCGGCTGCCCCGGCTGCAGCTGCTCCTGCAGCGGGTGCACGCCCGGCACCGCCGCCCGCCCGCCGCGCTCGTGGGGATCGTGGTGCACCCGCGGCGCGACGAGGAGGCGGAGGCGCGGCGCCGCATGGAGACCCTGCTCTGCAGCGCCTTCGCGCCACACAGCCCCGCCGTGGAGGTGCACACGGCCGTGTTCAGTCCCAGCCGACCCGAGGGCACCCTAGACGTTCAGCTCGCCGCCAACCGAGCGCACAGGGTCCGCCTAGTGGATCGAGGGACCCAGACTGATGGTGAGGGACCTGAAGATGAGGGGTGGGGACGCCAGGCTGCCGAGGACGTCCCCAGGAGAGAAACTTCAAACACGGAGGGAGGTCTGTGCCCTGACCCTACTGGTCCCAGTAGCGAACAGGTCCCTGATGTCACGGTCCTTCTCCTTGCGCTTCTGCGTACACCTTTGAGTGAAGATGAACTAGATTGCTGTTCCCAGGGGTGCTCACTGGGATAATTTGGGGTCAAAAGTGTTACACTTCCCACCCATCCACCTGACCCCTGCGCATCTTTTCCATCTGGTTGTTCATCTGTATCTTTTTTTTTTAATCCTCACCCGAGGACATTTTTCAGTTTCTTGTTCAGATAGAGTGGGAGGGAGAGAGAGAGAGAAATATCCACGTGAAAGGGACACATCGAGTGGTTGCCACCCGCACGACCCAGCCAGGGCCGGGGACAAACTACAACCGAGGTAGGTGCCCTTAGCGGGAACCGAACCCGGGTCTCTCTGGACCGCAGGCCGACGCTCTAACCGCTGAGCCAAACCGGCCAGTGCTCATCTGTGTCTTTTATCATCCTTTTCTAAGAAACTGGTAAACAGTAAGTAAACTGTTTTTCCTGAGTTCTATGGGCCACTCTAGCAAATTAATCAAACCTGAGGAGGGGGTCCTGGGAACCTCCAATTCATAGCAAATGGGTCAGAACCACAGGTGGACTTGTGATTGATGTCTGAAGGTGGGGGGGGAGGGCACTCAGGTGGGACATTGATGCCCCCCCCCCATCTACTCTATCTGAAGATAAGTGGGAAAATATCCTTGGATGAGGATTTAAAAAAAGAAGAATTGTACAGTCAGCCAGCTACTAACGGTCTAAAACAGCACCCTGCTGAGAGGGTTGTGAGGATTAGCCATGAAAAGCCCTCAGAACAGTGCCTGGCTGCACTAGGCATGCTTTGGCTGGAATCATGTGTGGTTCTCTTGGGGGAGGAGGTTGAAGAACCAAGCAAAGAACAAGTGGAAGTGGAGAGGAGGAGGTGGGGTCTAGGGCCTGCAAACTCCCAAATCTGTATCTTACAAGGGCTGATTCCCAGTAGTGAGCAAGGGGGCAAGGGAGGAAAAGGGTCCCACAGATGCAGGGAAATGAGGCGTGTTCGCGCGACTTCTGGAGCTCAGGGCTGGCTACAGCTAGCCGCAGGGAACATCAGCCTGGGGCAGTGGGCTGTCACCGTGCCATAGAGGAGTCAGACTAGGAGTCAGGCTAGGAAACTGTGCTCCAGCCAGAACAGAGGGCATGGCAGATGTTCTAGCAAAGACTGTGGCAGTGCCGTGCTCCTCCTCCTTCTAGCCCAGCCTGTTACTGCATAAGTACCCTTCTCTGCGTCTTCGGACCACCCTTACTAAAGAACCCACCCTGCCATAGAAAAACTCCCACTCCTCCCAAAGCCTGACCCTCTGTGTTTCTTCCATTGTTGTCCTGGGGAACAGGCACCTGTTTTCTGTGCCCCCTTCGGCTCCTTGGTGTGAAATGAAATGCTTCTTTCATTCCTACCAGGACATTCTGCCCGTGGGCGTCTATACCTGTTTAATTCATTTAAACCAGTGGTTCTCAGCCAGGGGCAATTCATTCTCTCTCTCGCTCTCTCTCTCTCTCTCTCTCTCTCTCTCACACACACACACACACACACACTGACATCTACCCACCAGTGTCTGTAGATATTTTTGGTTTCACAATTTGGAAGAAGCAGTGGTTGCTACTGGCATCTCATGGGCTGAGACCAGGGATGCTGCTAAACTTACAATGCACAGGACAGCCCCACAATAAAGAATTATCTGGCCCACATGTCAATAGGGCTGAGGTTGAGAAACCCTGATTTAAACCAGGTTGAGGCCCTCAGTCAAAAGCCCCATTGGTGCCTGGAAATCTAGTTTTTCAGAAATAAATGACATAGTATGTGTGACCTGCCAAATCTGAACAGGGTCCCTGACCGGGTTCCAGACTCTCTGATTCTAAAGTGAGTCCCCGAGGGACCCATTGCTCTTGACGTCAAGGGATTACCACCTTCTTGTAGACTCACCTGCTCCCTGAATCTCCTCATGCCCAAGCTCAACCCAACTCAACCCAACTCTGTGGATATGAGCTCCCTGTATCCTTTCTGCCTTTTTTTCCTTCACTCCTCTCACTCAAGGGATTTTTTTTTTTTAATTCATTGATTTTAAGGCCTGTATAATTACCTGACTGCCCATTGCCTTCTGGAGTCAGGAAAAGAGAGAGCCCAGAACAAGAATTTAGCCCTGTTGATGCCCCCTAGCTGTGTGACTTTGGAACAGTGATTTAACCCCAGTTTCTCCTCTAAAGAAAGAGAATCCGCAAGGTCTTTCCAGGTTGTAGAATCTCTAAAATATTTTCCGTCAGTTCACAATTCACATCGGGTCCGGCCTTGCGTGAGGATTCCTCCTCCCTGGGTCTACCCTAAACCTTCTCTTGGGGCGGGATTGTTACCCTCCGACGCAAAAGGTCAACAGGAGCACACTCACCCACCGCGTGATGCAACAACGGCAGAAGTAGAGTCTTCTCGTGTGAACACATTTTATGTTGGAGTCAAAATCCGAAGCCTAAGGTTGTCTTTCAAAAATGCTTTTTTCTCTCCCATCCTAAAAAGAAAATCACACTGTGAACTTTGAGAAAGGTTCATAGTCTCCTAACTGACCGGACGAGTTTGAGGTTTGAGAGGTAGTCTGTTGTGGCTCGTGTCACGAGTTTGAGAAAAATGTGGTTTTCCAAACAACTGTTACATGTTTGGAGGAAATTCTTTTACCAAATGCAAGGGTTCTTATCAAAGTTGGAGACCCCTCCCCACCCCCGCCCAGCCCTTTCCCACAGTGGGGAAGGGCAGGTTTTGGAAGAAGGAGGGAAGCTACTCTGTTCTGGGGGGAACAGTTGAGACAGAAGGAGGCTGTGGGCTTTCCATGGACCCCCAAATCCCCAGTAAAGTAACCTAAAACAGAATGTATTTTGAAGTAGTGATTTGGGTTTTTTGATATGTGGAAACCAGTAATAGAGCTGAGCATCACAGCCAGGTGTCTTAGAGAGAACGGATAGCTCCAGGGGGACCCAGGACACACCAGCAGAGGTGCCCGAAGGAGGCACTCCAGTCGCAGAATCCTGGGGATCCAGGCTGTCACGGGTCCCATGGCCAGGCTTAACCCAGGTTTGTGAGGGGTCTGACAGCTGCCCTCTCTCCATGCCAGGAGCTAAGGAAGAGGGAGGACAGCAGAGAAGACTGTCCCCAGGGCACTGCCATAGGAGCCACCCTGGCTTTTGTGACCTCACAGGAGGGGTGTGGGTGACCTTTCTCTGGGGAGCCTGAGTCCAGCCCAAGGCCAGAGCGCTCCCCCAGGGCAGGGGTAAACGGCCCCTCCAGGAGGGAGCCAGGAGATTAGGCAGCTCCATGTAGGTCCACCTTTAGGTTGGGAGGACCCACCATGAAGAAGGGCAAAAAGAAGAAGCCAGAGCCCAAACACCGAGGCTCCACCTCACGGCACAGTAGCTCCGAGTCTACCCCACAGCAGCAACAGAGCTCCGAGTCCACCCCCCAGGAGCCCAGCTCGGGGTGCACCCCACAGCAGCCCAGCTCGGGGTGCACCCCACAGCAGCCCAGCTCGGGGTGCACCCCACAGCAGCCCAGCTCGGGGTCCACCCCACAGGAGCCCAACGCAGGGTGCACCCCACAGCAGCCCAGCTCGGGGTGCACCCCACGGCAGTCCAGCTCGGGGTGCACCCCACGGCAGCCCAGCTCGGGGTCCATCGCACAGAAGCCTGTGTCCAGGGCCCTCCCAGCTTCCAAGCCCAGCCAGTCAGGGCGGGGTCTGCTGCCTCCGAACACTGGCACAAAAGCACTCCCTGCATCCAAGAAAACAGGTGAGCAGCTCAGTAGTTCTAGCCAGGAGAATCCCGGGCTCGCCCCAGGAGCTGGTTCTTACTGGGGAGCGATGGAACTGTGCTTGTGGAGTGGGAAGATTTGGGGGCTTGTTTTTATCCAAGAGACCAGGATTCCTGGGTGTTAGCATTTCTCACCACGCGGAGTCTTACTGAAGAAGGCAGCCACGCATACGCATTAACATTTAACGTGGCTGGGTGGTGATATTCATTAGGAATCGGCACCGTGTGGCTGCTTGAAAATAAAAACCAAGGGCACTGGCCAGTTTGGCTAAGTGGTTAGACTCATCAAACCAATGAGTCCCGGGTTCGATTCCGGGCAAGGGTACGTACCTCGGTTGCGGTTCGGCCCTGACCCTGGTCGGGTCGTGCAGGAGGCAGCCAGTTGATGTGTCCCTCTCACATCAATGTTTCTCTCCCTCCTTCCCTCCCACTCTATCTGAAGACAAATAGAATTTAAAAAAAATGTGAGGATTTAAACAAACAAAAATAAGAACCATTTGGTGTTTGCGATTTGGTGGAAGGAGTTGGAGGACATCTGTCTGTGGGGTCGAAGGTGTGAGGAGACTTCTCCCTGTTTACCTCAGATATCTGACTGAGGGCCCACGGATAGGGTTGTCAGTAAAATGCGGGACACCCAGTACAGTTTGAATTTCAGATAAACTACAAATGATATTTGTATGTAAAAGCATTCTTTCAGGATAAGCGTGTCCCTGATATTGCAGGGGTGCCCTTGTTGTATTTGCCAAGTCTGGCAGCCTTCCTTATGGAAGGCAGAGGCAGACCTCTCTCCTCAGCATTAAAAATGTCCCACTGCCCGACAAGGAAGGCCGTCCAGGAGAGGTGGTAGCCAGAGTCCTCTTTGGCAGCCAGCGTCTGATTGAACACTGGATTGTGCAGAGGGAATTCAAGTGGAGCTCGGGAGGTGGGCTGGTTCTTACTGCTTCTCATAATAATGGTAATTGCTAACGAACACTTATCACCAAGCATTTACTGTGCACCCAGCATTCAGCTGGGCTCTCTGTTAATTCTCTTATTTAACAACTCTATAAAGGACAAGCTAGTATCATCATCTCCATTTTATAGATGGGGAAACTGAGGCTCAAAGAAATCAAAATAACTCACTCTCAAGCAGGCACTGGTATCACTGAACAAGAACCTCAGTCTATTCTGACTCCAGGATCCTCGCTCTTCACTACAGTCCTAACCTTCTGACCCCCACGAGGTCTGGGGTCTCCGCTGGAGGAAGAACACCCTCTCGGAGCTTCTCCTGAATCTGTGAACCAGTTCCCATGATTCTGTGGTCCTGAGCAGGCCACATTCCCCATGCCACAGTGATCCCTCTGGGACAATGTGAATATAAAATAAATAAGAGGTGTGTGTACATCCAAGGTACCACTGTGACACGATATTTCTGTGGCTAGGAATCAATCTGTTCTTAACCTCTGGAAATGGTTTCAAGTGTCACATTATATTGTATACATTATGATCATCAGCCACGGAGCTAAACATTTCTGGACTGTGGCCTATAGAACTGATACCTGTAGAATGTGAAACTTGACATTCCTGAATCTTTTCACGAATACATGCAACTCACCCCCAGGGAGGATTTCTGCTTATTGAGGCGGCAAAGCAGGAAACGGTGGTGGCTCCTCAGTGGTCACGACGGACACCTGCTCTTCCTCTGCGAAGGCATGTTTCCCCTTTGAGCCAGAGTGGGAAGGAACGCGGGCGATGAGGGATGAGGGCCTCGGAAGGAAGGATGCCATTTTCTGAAATCCAAATCTTTTGTATGCAGAGAATATTGTAGCTCAAGAAAGTACAAGTCTTCCACTAGAATGACTATAATCAAAAGAGGGACAATGACAAGTGTTGGTGAGGCTGTGGAGAAATTGGGAACTTCATACACTGCCGGAGGGAATGTAAAACGGTGCTTCTCTGGAAAAGTCTGCCAGTTCCTCGAAGGGTTAACCATGAAGTTACCATGAGACCTAGCTATTCCGTTCCTGGGTATATACCCAAGAAAATTAAAAACGTGTCCACACAAAAACTTGTACTCGAACATCACAGCAGCATTGCTCACAGTAGCCAAAAAGTGGAGACAACTCAATGACCATCAACCAATGAATGGGTAAACAGCAGGTGGTACAGCCCTACATTGAAATGCCATTTGGCAATAAAAAGAGATGTTATGCTGATAGGTGCTGCAATATGAACAGACCTCAAGAACATTAAGCTAAGTGAAAGAAGCCAGCCCCCAAAAAAGCCAACATGTTGCATGATTCCATTTCTGCAATGTCCAGAAGAGGTAAATCTATTGCCAGGAACTGGGGACAGTGGGGAGCAGGCAGTGACTTGGTTATGGGCACGGAGTTTCTTTGGTGGGAAATGAAAAGATTCTGGAATTAGACAGTGATGGTGGTTGCACACCCCCTGTGAATATACTAAAAACCACTGCACAACTTAAAGGGGTGAATTTCATGGTATGGGAATTACAAATCCATTTCAAAAAATGTTTAACTTTTTAAAACGATAAAGTCTTGCCTTAGAATCTCTTCCTTCCCCAGTCCTGGAAAAGTATCCGTTGGGGCAGGTCTGGGCAGGAAGGGGGCAGAGCTGGCTTCATGGAGCTTGGGCTGGAAGAATCCACAGTTCGGTCAGGAAGTAGCTGCAGGAGGGAATCATGCGCCAGAAGTCATCTTCAACAGCAGAGGGCGCCATCTCTGGGTTCCGCTGGGATCCACTGCCCAGGACAGAGGGAGATCACTTTGGGAAAGCATTTCAATGACAGTAAACTGCAGCAGCGGTTGTCTTCTAGGTGAACCAGTGAACCCCACAAAATGGGGCGTGGCAGCTCCAGGTGCAGGAACCGCGGTGCCACCTCTCGGGTGGGCCGTCACCTGCTGCCACCTCTTCCTGTGAGTTCCCGGAGACGGCGCTGAATCCAGGGGTGGAAATCCTAATCGAGGCCCAGCTCTGCAACCTACTTGCTCTCAGGGCACGTCCGTATACTCTTTGAGCCCCAGTTTCCGCATTTGTAAACGGAGAGTGACAGTACCCCACTTCACAGGATTGTCCTGACAATTCGAGGAGATGGACGATGACGTGGAGACAGCTCCGCACAGGTGCAAAGCCATCGCGCCCTTATTTTGACTATCCCCGGTAGCAGCAGTCCGTAACACACCAGTGTCCCATGCGGTTCGTTCCTCTCCTGCACCGTCCAGGCTCTCCCCCCGCCTCCTGGAGGCCTGTGGGTCCCTCATCTCTTCTCTTTTTCTGTCCACCCAGGGCCTCCGACTCGGGCGGGCTCGCGCGCCTTGTGTTCCTGTACCGCTTGCCCCGGCAGCTCTGCTTGCTGGCGTCGTCTGGGCCTGTGCCACAGCCGCATCTTCGATGTCCTTCTGCCTCGGGCCTGGCTGCCCATGCCAGGGAGGGGATTCCCAAACCTCCTCACCTTCTACAGGTTCTGGAGCGCGTGGAGGGCTGGGCCCTCGGGGCATATGGTTCCCAGGGCCAGGCCCTGCCCTCGATTTTACCATCGCTTGTAACTTCCTCTTGGGAGTCCTAGGCCAAAAGAAAGCCTCTCCCTCCGGGTGGCCACAGCCTAAGGTTTGGCACCGGCGCTTTCTGATCAGACCCACCCCAGGGTACCCCACCCGCAAAGAGAGGTGCCAGTTTTCTTTCTCACTGCGAGATCTTTTGCTTTTCCTCATAGGCACCCTCCCTTCTCAGAGTACACCCCCACACAGCCCTCCATAAATGCCCCTCACTCAGGGCTTTGGGATGAAAGGCTGTGTTTGGCCATCAGCCTCCTTCCGTGGCCCAAACCACAGCTGAGAGCAGCTGTTCTTGACCTGCATTTGAATGTCCCCTGGAATTTAGTCACAAATACTGGTTGTAACTCACACGCCCCCTTGGTGATAGGAAGACCTCCACCCTAGCAGGAGATTTCAGGCTGTTTCTAGCAGTCGGGACAGGGAACAGTGCCCCCAGGCTGGTCTGCCCAGGGCAGTGCAGCCTCCCAGACACAGCATCGTCGGAAGTATCTGCCCGTCTTTGCCTCTTCCTAGAAACCACCAGGGGTGCCAGGCTGTGTGCCAGGGCTGGGAGAGGGGCCTAAGGCAGCGCCGCCTGCACTCTGGGCCTCACAGATGTCCACAGAAGAGGCTTTCCACTCACGAATCTCATAGCCCTAAGGCAGGAACAGAGCCCACCCATCGCCCACCGTCCTCCTGCTCCTCCCCCCAGCCCCTCCCCCACCAGATCCCCGCTCGGGTCCATCCTTGAAAAACACCATCTTTTAGACCTGTGCAGAGAAATAAACAGATACCAAGGTGTGTCGAAGAACATGCCTAAAGCTAAAAATACTCTACAACCTGGTAAGTCCCTGTCCCCCACCCCCACCCCGTTATCATTAACGGTCTTCCGACACACTTAGCATGTCTGTCCATCTGGTGCCAAGTGGTGCCACGGAGTCATATCACTTTGAAACCCACAAGTAGGGAAACCTAATCTGCACAGGATTCTAGGTCCTAGGAGGGAAACCAGAACAGGGAACTTTCCCCTTAAAAATGGCACAGCCTGTGGTAAGCTCAGACATGTCCATAGAGAAACTAAGATGCGAGGCGGGTAGTCTGTGTCCTGTAGGAGATGTTCAAAGAGCTTCAGAAAAAGAGAGTGCCCACTCCTAAACTGGGGTCCAGGCGGACTGGAGGTCAGACCTCGGAGCGGAGTCTAACAGGACCCGAGGACCATCTCCGGCTGCTTTTAAAAGGAGAACATTCTAGATAGAGGAAAAGGCAAAAGCAAGGCTCAGAATTAGGAATGTGAGGGGCAGGGGCAGGGGTCCAGTCTGGCCCGGGTCAGGCATATTCTGTTCACATCTTAGCACCTGCTTCCGTAATCTTTCCATTTCTCAGTGGAGTGGAATGTTGGCTCCTGGCTGGAAATACACATTCACTTTAAATAAGAACCGCCCCTTGAATGGGACTTTTATCCACATGGATACTGCCTTTGTGAAAGCCTTCCTCACAAGTGTTCTCAGTTTTTCTTGCCTTCGTGGTGGGTTTAATGTTTCCTCATGTTCTTGATCCCCAAATGGAGCTACCTGATAGGACCTCCTTCACAGGGTGGTTGTGAAACTTGGGGAGACATGGGGTGTGAGGTGTTTAGCACAGGGCCTGGCACACGGGGGCCTTGACCACCTTTGTAACCTGGCTCCCTAAAAGTCCAGGGGAGCTGGCATCCCAGGCCAGCCCGTCCTCAGATCCTGGGGACCCTGTGGTAGGGTTTTCCTGGAAGGGGTGGGAGGAGTTGTAGCCCCTTGAGAGGAGGCTCGGTAGGGGGATGGGTATTCCTGCAACCCCGAGGGAACTCCCCAGTCTTTCCTTCCCCATAGACAGGCACTAACGCCAACTTCCCCCAACCTGTGGGCTTTCTACTTTGCTTTACAGAAGACCCACAAGGAAACATTCCAGTCATCGTAGTACCCGTGCTCCAAGCTCTCGGGATTGCGGCTGTGACCCTGGGAGCCCTGGGCGCTGTCTTATACGTCATTGAATCCTTGTGAACAAACCCCAGGCTCACAGTCCAGCAGGTAGGTGGACCCCCTTTGTGCCCACTGACTGGCCAGTCCTACGAGCAGGGCTGATGGGATGTCTGACCCTTCTCGGAAGGAGGGTCTTCATAGGCAAACCACACCCCTCCCAGCCCCTAGTGGGTAGCGTGAGGACTGGCTGAGTCCTTCCTGGACTCAGGATGGTCAGGCATGGCTCTCTCAAGCTCTCTCCATTATTGGGATTGCCAAGACAGAGTTCCCCACACCCCGTGGGATGGTTCCCCTAGTCACAGACACCAGACAGGAGGGCATGGAAGGGGTGAGGGCAGAGGTGCCTACCCATCTTAGGGTGCTCCCTCGGAACTTTTCTTCCTGCCTAGAAAGCTTTTTCCCTTTCCCAACGTTTCAAGTCCTACCTGTCCTCCGTGGCCTAGTCCTGTCTTCCACAGCATCTTCCTCCCCCACGGGCCCCCGTGGTTTCTCCCACCTGTTCCGTCCCTGTTTTCTCCAGCCTCCTCCATCCTGTATTGTGGGTGATCGTTTTGCATGTGGGTGGCCTCTCTCCACAACTATACTGTAAGATCCTTGGGGGCAGGGGGCGTGCTCACACAGCATCTTCAGTCCTGCCCTGTCTCGGGCTGGGCTCCCTCGAAGCAGAGCCTGAGACGGGGATATGAGTGCACAGGGTTTATTGAGAAAAAAGGGGAGTGAGGGAGGCGAGAGAGGTCAAAGGAAGGAGCAGAGCAAGGACGGGGCAGCTGACGTGCAGCCCCAGCCTGATCCCACGGGGGCTCCACACCATAGAACTGGTCTCACCTAGAAGCAAGAGCGTGGGCTTTTCGTGCCCCTCTGCCCCTCAGCCATCGGCAGTGGGGGTGGGGCGGGAAGTGCATGTCTTGTCAGAAAAGCACTCCCATTTGGTTGAGGACAAGTCCCGAAAGGGGCAGCTCTGGGTCTTTAGCAGCCAATATTCACGGGAGCTGAACAAGAATGCACCAACCCAGAAAGGCGCAGGGACAGACACCAAGAGCACCCACGATTGTCCCCATTGTCAAGTCCACCCACAGTGAATGCCTCACAAGTGATGATAGGGGTGGTGAGGGGATAGGCCTCCACCAGCCACAGGAGTGGACAGAGCGTGGCCACAGCAGGGAGCAGATGCGCAAAGTACCTCAGAAGCCCAACCCAGAAAACAGACACCAGTGAGATCTCGCTCAGCATCTGCTCAAGGCCTCTGCTGCCTGATCAAGGGACACTCATGCAAGAGCGGAAGCACCTTAAGCTTCACAAAATACATAGCGGTTGGGAGCTCAGTTTCCTGACCTGTAAATAAGGAAAATCCTAGTACAGTGATACCTCGGTTCTCGAACGCCTCGGTTTTCAACCAAATCAGGATTCGAGAAACTTTTGTCTCGGAATCCGAACAAATATTTGGAACTCGAACTTCCGAGTTGAGCCGAATGGCGTTCATTCGGCCCAGCGCGCCTTGCTTGCGTCATCAGTGTGAGTGCAGAGAGAGAGTCACGCTTTGTGGAGTCCGCTTTCCTATTGGGTTTCATTGCTTCGGTTCTCGAACAATTCGGTTCTCGACCGTCCTCCTGGAACGAATTATGTTCGAGAACCGAGGTATCACTGTACCTTCTTCCCCTGGAGGTTGTTGGGAGCAGGAGAAAAGGTGCCTAGAGGAAGGAGTTGGCCAGCTCGAGGGACGAGTTACAGCTGTCATCGTGGTGGTGGTTGGACAGATACTGGCTTTGGAGCCAGAGCTGTGGGTTCCGTCATGACTCTGCTACCACAGCTGGGTATTAGGGGACCCATCACTTAACTTCTGTGAGTCAGTGTCATCTCTGAGGGGGGAGGGGGGGAGAATAAGTACCACCCAGGACGATGGTGGTGAGGATTAAATGAGGGGATGTGCAGGTGTGTGAGGCCTGGTCACAATGGCTGGGTGGACGGTGGCAGGTGGTGGTGTGAAGACCTCACTTGAGCTCAAGTGTTTTGTTCTAGAGTCTTCATACAGCAGGGCCCATGTGAGTTTGGGTTCTGGGAGTAGGCAGGCTGGGGTCATATCCCCCTTCAACATTCAGTATTCCTGGGGCCCGGGGTAGGTTCCAGAACTTGTGGTTTGTTTCCAAATGCCAGGAGGCATTTAAGATTGATTCGATAAGTGGATTATGAGTTTGATTACTTGGTGCAAATTTCAGAAAACCTGATTCAAAATGGTAATAAGGAGATTATCTCACATAACAATAGGATATTTGGGAAGTGTCAGGGCTGGTTAAAGTCAACAGTGTCGCCCAGCTGGTATGGCTCAGTGAATTGAGCACCGCCCCGTGGACTGAGAGGTACAGTTCGACGCCTAGGTTTTGGGCTCAATTCCCAGTAGGGGGCGTGCAGGAAGCAGTCAATTGACATTTCTCACATCGATGTTTCTATCTCTCTGTCCCTTACCCTCTCTCTGAAAAAGAAAAAAAACTCAAAAACACAGAGTGTCATCAGAGAACTAAGGAGGGACTTTTCAGCTGTCAACCCGGACACTCAGCAGAGGGCAGGCTAGTGCCTCCCCTGGGCCGCTGGCTGGACACGCGCCCAGCATCACAGCCTCATACCCTGACAGCCAGAAGCAGGGGAAAGACCACCTCCTCCTGTGTCTTTTGTTGCGTTAAAACACTCTTCCCAGGAGTCCCCGTCCTCAGCATACGTGCCCTCTCATTGGGTCTCATACCCCTTCTTAAGCAAATAATTAGTATAGGGTTTGAATGATCATGGCTGGATTAGATCCATCCCCACTCTCTTCCCCTGGCTGGGGCTGCTTCTGTCCAGGATAAGGTCGGGCAAAGGAGCGGAGCAGCCCAATTAAATGGGGTCCCTGCCAGGATAAGCGAGAGTGGGTTGGGGGGAGCGGCCAGCAGCAGCCTCTACAACAGGCAAGAGTGTTCAGAAGGTGAGACGGAGCCTGCGCAAGATGAACCTCAATGCACAGACCTGTTGGCTTAGCCATTGACAGTCACCCTCAGGGTGTGAGAGTCAGTGAGTCAGTGTGCAGGGGGGTGCCTTGTGGTGTTACACGGTGAGTTCTGTAGGCCCAGTTCCCAGACCCTCAGGAAGGGAAGCAGGCAGTTTGATGTCCTTCTCAGTCCAGACAGTAAAAAGCCATGTGATGACAATGGCAGTCTACTGTCTGGGAAAAGATATTTCTAAGATCATCTTTTCTCCAGCTTGGTGCACCTCTCTCAGCGTCCCACCAGTGAAGGACGAGGGTCTCAAAGCAGGAAGCTGCTCCCCCTCTCCTCTTGGGCACAGAACACAGCCTAGCTTTGGGGGCAGGCTTCATCTTAGCCTCTGGAGTGGGAGGAGAAAGTGGAATCGCCAGCGACCTTCGACCCTAGAGCAGGCCAGGCACTTCACAGTTTCTAACGGCCTGGAGGGAAAAGCAGTCTCTGCACCACGCGGATGTGTTTGGACGAAAAGAAGAGTGGATGCAGAAATGGGAGAAATTTTCATCCCAATTGCTTTTCCCACAGGAGGACTTTAGCTGCTAAACTCTTGCCCATGAGGCTGTCAAACTGGAAAGACACCAGAATTCTGATCTCATGAAGTTTGTGTACGCTAATGGCTCTGTTCCTATTTTTCTTACAGATCCAGTTTCCATCAGGGGATCCCTCTTGTCACCAAAATAGAACAATAACAACAACCAAAAAAGAATCCTGTTTCTTGACTGTGTTTTACCCGGAGACACAAAAGTTGGACTTGGCAAAGGACTTGGTAGGGAGGTAAGGTTGGTTGGGGGGTGGGGTGGCTTGGTGACTTTCTAAGCCCCAGGTAACCAGGATGGGATCCTGCCATTCCTGTTGGGGGCCACAGACCCAAGGGGAGGCATTTATGCACAGTCACAGAACAGACCGTTTCGGATTTTCCCATTTGAAACGCCGGCGTCATACAACTTTATTCAATACCTAACATAACGAGTCCGCTCTACTTCCGCCCAGCGGTCATCCCGGTTAGTGGGAGCAGGAGGAACGCACCGGCTCCCTTCCAGGCCTAACCTGAGGAAGAGAGGCCTGTCCGGGGCCACGCGGTCCCTGGGACATGGCTTCATTCGGCGCCCCCGGGATGGGGAGGCGCAGGGCGAGGCAGGCTGGTGGCCAGCGTCCGGCCTGGGGACTCAGCTGTGCTCAGCGGAGCCTGGATCCTGAGCAGCTGAGGCAGAGGTCTTAGTTCAAGGTGATCCCGGGAAACAGCAGTAGGGAAGGGGCGTGTGAGACAGAAGAGGAAGGTGTGTGATCCTGCTGGGGCAACTCTGGGAAACAGCGCATCCCAGAGAAACCCCACTGCGGAGGGGCGGCTCACAAACCCATCCTGCCAGCCTTCTGTTAGGCCGCTGGGAGAGGGAGGCCGCAGGCTCAGAAGGATGCAGATGGTGGATGCTGAAGGTCCAGGGTGCCTAACGCAGCAGGAAAGGGGACATAAGGGGACGTCTAGGGGGAGCAACCTTAAACTCAAGGAAGGGAGTGCACAGAGCCACACCCGTGTGACCTGCTGCACCTCCAAACGCTGCTCAGGCTAGGAACCAGCAGGACAGCCCCGGGGGAGGCAGGGAGCCACAGTGCAGGTGTGACTGGGCAGGTGGGCCAGGCCAGTTACCCAGAACCCAGAGTCCACCCACTACCTCCCAATCCCAGGGTCTCCTTTCCTGATAGGCACTGGTGGATTGGGAGAGGGTACCCCTGGAGTGACAGGAGCCCTTTCTGGGATGCCAGCCTCCCAAAGAGAAATGCTAGCTTCCGATGGAGTGGGGTCACATTCCGTCCTGTCCTGCAGGTCAGGATGGAAGGGCCCCGTGGCGGCTGCGTCTGGTCAGCCTGGCTCCTCTGACTGAAGATACTCAGCTCCTCTTTCTGGAATTTTAATTAGGTCCCCTCTTATTGTACATGTTGGACAGCCTTGCCCAAATCGTTTGTCCTCTGAGCAAAACGAGAACCTATTGACTCCCATGAAAGTC